CTAGGAATAAATCCTAAAGAAAAATATTTAAATTAAATAGGCTCATATTATACATTCAAATTTGCATCCGAGTTTTCTCCACTTAATATTACAACATAAGAATTTTTCTATAATATTGCACAGGTTTAAAAAAAATCTCTGTTAAAAGCTATACCTTATTCCAAGAGAAAGACTATATTTTACTTATCTGTTTCTCTCATTCTCCACAGCTCTTAATAATCATGTTGAATACATTTGTATATAATGATTTTTCTCTTTTTAAAATATTTTTCTTTAGGATTTATTCCTGGAAAGATTACCATGAAGCCAAAGAAAAAAGACAAAGCAGTTTATGTTTTTCATAGTTATATCTAAATTGCTTTTATTAATTATGTTTTATTCTTACTTTATGCACAACATGCTCTTTTCAGATCTGTTTGGGAGGCAACCTCAGAATAAGGAAGTTCAATAAAGCTGCTGTACTTTGTTTTCATGTATGTATAATATTTTCATTTTGGATAATTAAAAATTAGAGCCATTTATCCTTTGACCTTTGAAAGGAAAAAATATTTTGCACAGAATATATTTTGTTATATTTATGTTTTCTTTTTTTGTTGTTTCGTTGGGAGACCTATGTCTCCAAATTGGGATGATTTTCCTGACCTTATTAACAATGCGATATCCTTTAACCAAAAGTGAAGTATAATGGATTTTGTGGAAGGATGGGAGAAGGAGGCATAAGTATCTATATCGCGGAAACAAAAGAGTAGGGGTGATGATTCATCATTCATCCTGTGGATGGGTGAGTTAGGGCTGTGTGATAATAAAATGTGTGGGCAGGGATTACTAAAGACATTTGACAGCGACATTTTTATGACTTTGTATAGACAAACATATGCTAATACACAAGAGTACTTCAAAAATTTCATGGAAAAATTGAATTACAAGGTACTTTTTGAAGAACTCTCACATGTAGGAAGGGTCCAGTAAATATTTATTGAGTGAGTGAATGTGTAAGTAACAGGTACTTACTTAAAGTCATTACTAGATTTTATATATGTTTGTGTTTGTTTATGTGTTTATATGTATGTATAATGCTTTATCTTATCTAACAGTCTATTTCTTTCTGTTCCCCACATTAAATTTCTATTTTTAAGATTTTGAAAATAAGAGTTTCCTTTACTTGATAGATCTCCACAGACTGAAAAACCTGTCCAAGAGATTTTTATTCCAGTCTATTGAAGCTATAAATTTAGAGTGGGACTATGTTAAATCGTATGTGGATCACAATTTTGAAGAATGAACAATATTAATTAGGCAATGTTATAATTATCTTAAAAGTCAAATTACCCAGTAACATACTCTTTCCTAGAGGTAATTAATGTCTTATACTTATCCTATAAAATATGCTAGAAACTATTAAACTGGAATATACTTCCTTTTAAAAGTTGATTTATGTTTTTCATAAAGTAGAGAGCATGGGTAAAGAGAGTGGGAGGAGAAGAGTAGTTGAATTCCTAGGTTTATGGTCTGGAAAGCATGTGTATTCTTACATATGGAGATGTAGGAAGTGTGGCAATTCACCAAACATTTATTCATCACCTAAGAGGTGCCAGACACTGAAGACACTATGCCAGCACTGAAAGAAGCACAACAAAAAAACAGACATAAACAGCACGTGTGCTATGGTAGATACCAGGGAGAGTATGTCTCCAGCCACTTACACATTCCCCAATCTGCCTGCTTACAATAGATATTTCTTGACTGTATCTTTTTTTCACAGTTAGAGGTGTGGGTTCAAATGTAAATTCTCCGGGAAGAGAAAAAGTGAAAAAGAATAATTGAAGCAATTACTGGGGTGAGACGTGCAAGGACGTACTCTGCAGTTGCACTGAGTACTCTATCTTGGTACTATGAAATCCCAATTATAATCTTTTCATGATTGATTAGCTATCTTTCTTTATCTCTTTGTAGGTAATTCAGGCTCCAGGAGGGTGCTACTTCCTGAATGGATCACCTCATGCCTCCGAGCAATGTGACTGAATTTATTCTCTTGGGACTCACACAGAATCCACAC